GCCTTGGAGAGACGAAGATTTTTTTGAAGACAAGCCCAAGGTGGATTTAGTTGTCAGTTCAGAGCATCCCTTTTCTGTATGACAAATCAGACCAAGACGTACATTCCCCAAGTTCTCAGATCTGGGGCCAGTCCTGGTCCATTGTAGACCCCCTCTGAGTACCATCCACCAGGAGAACTGGGATCGCAGTTTAAAGTGTTTCCTGTCATCTCTGAACTCGATCAGCCGGAGCGCCCCTGCTTGGGTTCTTGCTGGCCCCTTGGCTTTCTTCCTGGAGCTTCATGGTCTGACTCAGAGGAAGGTGGTCTTTTCCCTCGGACAAGAAGGTGGCAGGTGGGAATTAACCTAGGCTTTCCTGACCCGTGTTTTCCCAGAGTCTTATGGGCAGGAGAAGAAAGCTTTTCTAACCAGTGACGAAGAGGTTCTGTGCTGGCCGTTGGGTAAGGAGCCATCTGTGCCGTCATGTGGCTTCCCTGGCTGTGGATGTAGACCACTTTCATTTTCCCAGGACATCCCTCCTTTACTGGCTCTGCTGTCTCAGGCAGCCTCACTGACCTGAGACACGCCTCCTCCGGGCTCTCCTACGATAGCCAGGTGACTGCCTTTGCCTTTCACTGCAAATGTCTTGATCCTTCTTCCTAGTGGAAAGCAGGACAGCAAATTGGAGCAAACGCACAGATCAGTGTCACCTCGAATTCCTCCAGACCTGACAATGGTTGAATGACCCAGGAGGCCCAGCGCGGGGGTGGGGGGGAGAGACCCTCACTTGGGATGGGACCTCCTGGCCCACGGTGGGGAGTGGCCTGCCTCACCACACGCACACACAGCACCACCTACAAGGACAGGGGCTTTCTGCAGCCTGACCAGAGGGCTCAGGTCAGGAAGCCCCGCTCCACGGCTGCCCTGCAGGGAGGAGAGAGGAGCGGTTTCTGGCCTCGTCACAGCCCTTGACAAGGGCCTGCGGTCCTGAGCGCTGAGGGCAGGGCCTCCCCACACACACACCTGAACGTCATCACCCACGGCTGCGCCTAGGGCTAGATACTCACTGGCCTTCCAGCTTGAGCTCATCTCTCACCACCTCAGTTCTGTTGGGCGAGAAAACAACGCTAAGTAGTACCAGGTCACCCCACCAAACAAGCTCACGGAACAGAACGCAGTCGTCCTCCTGGCCATTTCAGTTGAACTGATCAAGTCCTGTCTCAGCCTGAGAGTCCTCAGTGGGTCTTCCAGAGTCAGTCTGGGGTTCTGTTCCCTGCTGGAGGCCACTGCAGCTGGCCCAAGGACACCCACAGTGACCCCTGGCTGCCACTGCTGCCCACTCCGTCGTCCATGGTTAGGTCCTCTGTGAGCTGCTGCCTGTGTCTGCAGCCACCACGGTGTCAGCTGACTGGCTTCAGGGTTCCACACTCAGTTGGTCTAGCTCCCGAAGACTTGCTTGTTAGGTTCAGCAAAAAGCTGCTTCCCCAAGACTTAAGCTGGCCTCCAGAGGGCCAGGTCAGGAACAGGGCCTGGTGTGTCCCCGCCCAGGGGCTTCGTCAGGGGCCCCTTTCCCCGTTGGCACAGGCCCTGAGCGTCACCCCAACAAGATTCAATTGCTTTGAACATTAGAAGTTGGCCTTTAATCCTACTCCTTCAAGACCCCAGGGTCCTTAGACATAGCCACCCTCTCCTTAGCCAATGACAAGCTTATCAGTACCCTCCTCCCAGATGGCTGATTGCTCCAGGTCTGACTCAGTTTCCCTTTGTCTAGCATAAATTCTGCCACACTGCACTTCATTCCCCCAGGAGGCACTCCAGTGACCCCACGCGTGCGAGACGGGCGAGCTGGAACTTCCCTGGAGCGCCTGAGGGAAACTGCCCCACTCACCCCTCCACGTTGTGGGTCTTGCCCCCAGGGTAAATCAGGAGATAGAAGCGTTCTCAGCTTTCTTTGATTCCCCCACAAAATAGTCAGCAGATGAGAAATGCGTTTACGTTTTTATTTAGGAGCAATCGAAAGATTTTCAGTACCATTTCGGCCCATTTCAAATTGTACAAGCAGTTTGTCCCTGTTCCCCTCCCTTATCCAAATCCACAGATACAAAATCTAGGAAATGTGCAATTTGCATCTTAGAAATAGCAGCATCCCCACAGGGGACCTTGTGAGGCCTGGAGACTCAGCCCGGAGAGGGCAGCGCACTCCTCCCACCCCGGCACAGCCCCGGTCCAAAGGCAAGTTCCATCTTTCTGTTAAAAACATGTCCCTAGGGCGAAGAGCCCCCTCCACCCAGGCCCGGTGACAGCCAAAGTGTGCCTGTGCCTCTCTCTCGGTTTGGTCTCTCACATGCAGCCACTGCAGGAGGAGAGGCCCTCTGGACAAACAGAAGCCGGGCAGTGGCCTCTTAGCACCAAGACGATGGCTTCTTCGGCGTCTCCGGGAGACGGGAAGCGCACCACAAGCCAGCTGCCCCTGCCTTCTCCAGCCTCCCTTCCACAGATACCCTCGCCCTCAGGGAACAAAGGGTCTGAGCTGAACACCAGACCGGAAGTGGGTGGCAGAAAACCAGGAACCTGCAGGCCTCTGGCAACCTCTTCCCGACTTGCACAAAGGCGGCGCCGCTCAGTACCCTTTCAGTCAACCACGTCAGGGGGGCGGGGTTGGGGGAGGACGAGGTCTCTTTTCAACAACAACGATGGCACAGTCTGGCCCTCCCGACGCACTGAACAAGGCGGGGTGCTGGGGGGCAGGGTGGGAACCCGCTGCCCGGGGGCAAGCACCCCTCCCCGCGCGCATCACCCAGTGGCCTGCCGACCAGGCTGCATCCGCTGAGGGTGGCGCTGGCTCTCCGGGCCACGTCTGCAGCAAACCGCGGGACAGGGCAGCGGGCCGGGCCGGAGCCAGGGATGAATGACAGTCTCTCTCTGAACACAAATTACAGGATTAGCAGGCACCCCTCTCCGGGTGCCTGCTCTGCGGCTGACTCCTGAGAAAGACCACGGGCCTGCAGCCTTCTGCGCTCCACGACTCCAGACGGCCTCCACCCGAGACATTCCACCTCCAACTCCAGTCACATCGGGGGCCTTCAAACCACTCATCAAGGGAAGGAACAGATGTCATAAAGCATTAGCCGAGAAAAGCTACTCATCAACACACACGCGGCAGAGGCCGGCTCCTGAATTCAGGAAAGGGCGCTCACGGCAGGTAAGCACGCAGACTCCTCTCAGGTCGCCGCTTGCCACCTGCCCCGAGTGGACAGCAGGAGAGACTCCCACAGCCGGAGACGAGACAGCCCGCTCCACCCCGTGGGGCTCTGGCCCGAGCAGCCTGAGGGCTGTGAAAGCCTGGGGCCTAAGACAGCAAAGCAGGAACTACGCGTTCTCTGCGAATCCTCACGGTCCCACAAACCACAAGACAGGATTTTAACAACGCGAGGCAACAGGTGCTGGCCCCGCCCCTGTCCACAGGGTCAGCGGCGCCTGCTCACCCCACACTCTGGGTCCCCACCCCTGCTCAGGTAGGATGGTTGGTTCCCGCGGGGTCCAGGCTGTCGGTCTCCAGTCTGGCTGCAGGGCTGGGGCTCCAAGCAAAGGAGAGGCCAGACTGACAGGCAAGTCACGGTTCTTCAGGGTTGAAGAGCCAAAGAGCGTGCCTCCCGTCCCCCGGGGGGTTCCGTCTGCTCCTCCTCCCACTCGGGCTCTGGGCCAACCAGGGGGAGCTGACGTCAGCCCTCGCCCCCCTCCCCAGCGCGACAGCACTGGAAACACACACAGATTGCAGCAGAAACGAATTCCAACCGAGGTCTGTGGGTTCCATCTAGACCTAGAGCTGGGCCGCCCAGCGGCTCTGTGATCCCACCTCCACCCTCCACTCACTCGGCCCAAGTCAGCATCCAACCCTTGGTTGAGAGGTTGCCTGCAGCCGCCCCAGCCCCAGCGTTGCTCGGCTCGGCTACTGTGAATGGACCACAGGAGACAAAACAGACTGAAGCCTTGCTCCGGGAGGGGCCCGTTCAGGAGAGGGCGTGGGCTCCACACTCCCCACTTTTTCGGGTGTTGGAGCTTCTGTGAGGGCAGGTGCTCCCCCAGTCACACGGAGATGGCCCCCCAGTCCCGGGCAGGAAGGCTGGGAGGGCCTGTGCTCCCAAGAAAGGGAGCGAAGGAAGCCGGTTCAGGAGAGCTGGAGAGGGGCCTCCAGTGGGAGTGGGGAGGATGGAGCCCCGTTACTCTCCTGACCTGGGCAGGCTGCCGGCTTCTGCCTGGAACGGCTGGCCACGCCGACCTTTACGTGTCTAGAGGACTTTTCTTCTCCAGCACATAACTGAGCCTTGCCAATCAATGGGATACAGGACAATCTAGACATAATACAAAAGGTAAGTCAAACCAATAACCTGCCCCAGGTAAAGTCTGAGCAAGGAAAAAGGGGGAAGAAACTTTAGGAAAAGCCCAAACTCCAGGTTTGGTTTGTTTAAGATTTTCTTCTTGGCTGGTTCTCCTCTCCTGCAAAGTGCCTTTATCCACTTGGGCTGTGATGTTTGAATAGACAGAGCCGCTCCAACCCGAGGATTCTGGTCCGAGAAGAGGACAGGAAAACAAGAGGCAACCGGGCCCAAGGCAGGGCCGGCACAGGCAGGGAGCTGTGGGTGAGGAGGTGCCCCAAAAGGGCGACGCTGAGCCTCTGTGGAAGGCAGCCTGGCACATGGGGGAGAGGGGGTGTCACAGGCCCTGCCATGGGACCACGGACTGAGCAGGACAAAACCCATGGCACCCACATCTTGGCCTGGAGAACATGCTGAGACTTCCCGGTGGAACGGCCTCCCAGGGCCGTGAGCGCACTCGGGACCTGCAGGTACCACCGACCCTCGCCCACCTCCCACCTTTGCTTCCCGACAGCAGGTGGGCACTTGGCTGCGAAAGGAGCTCCAAGTCGTACAGGGCCACCCACCCCAGGTGCCACGAGTCCTCCAGCCAGGCTTTCCACTTCAGGAGCCCACGACTCAGGAAAACGAGAGCCCACCTTCCAAATCACAAAGCTCGTCAACAGTCAAGAATTAATACACGTAATCGAAGTACGCAGAGCATCTGTGCCATAAACCCAGGTTTCCTTTGTCAGAATGGCGATCTGGGCTCACCTACTAAAACTGCATCTACAACCCCATGTAAAAAATACAATAAACCAAACATGTACAAGACACAGGCAACAAGAAACACTGACATAGTTCACCATCTCTGATGAGTCCAAGTGCACACAGAGAGGAGGGGAAAGATTAGTCACCTTACGAAACACGCTTTTTCTTTGGGAGAGACTAACCCCACCCTACTTCCCTCAACTCTAGAGCCCACAGACTGCCCTCTCCTGAAGGCAGCAGCACAGTCTAACCCTGGGTGGGGCGCAAACCGTGGTGACCTCCCTGGCCACGGGGCCGGCTGCGGCCGTCCTGCATCCCCACCGCACTCTGGCGCGCGCCGGCTCCGGGCTGCTGCGGCTGTGTCTCTGCAGCCGGTTGGCTGTGTTCCTGGTTTTGCCCCCAGGGCCCCGGGTACCTGCTGCGACGTCCCTTTAGGCACCTGCTCGATGAACCAACCATTTCTGTCTCCATCACCTCATTCCTTAGTCACTCGGGTCCCAGAGTAAAGGAAGGAGGAGGGTCTGTCCAGCCTGGGCAGTCTCGCCGTTCGGGGGGTCGCCCTGGCTAGCGGGCAGGCTGACTCCTGTGAGCAAAACCTGCCCGCAGGCAGCACCGTGACGCTTCCACTTTTTAAGGACGAGCTGGTGCTGAGCTCGGGGCCCTACGTCCTGTGTGAACTTGTCCACCACGTAATTTATGTTTTCTGTTTCGCTGTTTGGGTTGTAAATGACATGAATACAAATAAAATAACCAAGAAACTCCGCTGTAAAGACACGGCCCTCGGTTGGGGCACGCAGGGCTCTGGGAGTGACGCCGGCAGGGTGGCGTCGCAGACACTCGGATGTGGCTTCGCGCGGGGCCGCCCCGGCCTCCCCCGCAACCCCCCAACACGGGCTGCTCTCCCCAACACCCACGTGCTGCGTCAGGCAGACGCGTCACAAGTAAAGCATCAAATGAGTATCTGTGCTGTATATGGATACATATAAATTAATCTGCATGTACATAACCACTACAGGAAAAGTTCTAGGTGTCTGTTCTCTGAAGGAAGGCAATCACTCGCCATTCTGGGCAATTCCGCAAAGAGGCCTTGGGGCTAAATATGGAAAGGATACAAAAACAGGCTGCCAAACTTGCCAAGTCCTCACAAGTCACCTGTTTGAAACCAAGAAGAGGTGGTCCCTAACAGGACAGGGCAAGCAAGAGGAGACTCTTTAGAAGAACAATGGTTCAAGGGCTTTTGGTTTCCGGAAAAAAGCCTCTCCTGGAGGCAGGAGGTGCGACCCCCGTCTCTGTGCTCAGAGCCAAACCTGGGAGATGCCCTGCCCGGCCCAGTTCCCGGGGGGACGGGGGAGAAGGACCGTGCCGAACACCGCCCCCCCCCAGTATTCTTGCCCAAAGCCCCTGCCCTGTCTCTGGGGTCTCCGAGGATTTGGTGCTCTGGGAAGCGGGTGGTTTCTGGGAGGTGATGCACCTTTGCCAGCCCCCTCTTCACCTGCTGCTCTCGGGGCAGCCGGTCTCGGCGAGATCGGGATTTACCGTTCAGCACAGCTTTGTAGGCAACTTTCTCAATGTTTCAAAGGCACCTTTTCCTGTGACTTTTCTCAATTAAAAAAATGGATATGAGGGTTAGGCTTAAGTAGACAGAGATCTTGGTTCCAAGTCTGGGGATATAAATATAGAACTTTAAAAACATCCTCACAAGGACCTGTCCAGCGATGTCCAGCACACCAACCAGGCCCCAGGCACGGGGGCCAGGAGGACTCTGGGTCTTCTGCTGGGAACCCCACATGCAGGTCTTTGTGCTGAGGGCCACCCTGGCTCCGATAATTCCGAAAAGTCCCCGAATCCCGCCAGCTCTCAGTCTAACCAGGCGAGCGTGGGCCTGCCTTCCCAAACCAGAGGCGGCTCTGGGGTGAGGGTCGATAGAGGGCAGAGAGAGCCCCAGCAGCTGTGCGCCTTCACTCCCATCCCCCATCCCTGTTTCGCTTGTCAATTTTCCTCTAAATGTGTCTAGACTGAAAAAAAAAAAAGGCGGCACATAGGGCAGTACATTAGGCTTAACAACAAATGTTTCTTTAGTTGATCTGATCACTGAAGAGTTATGGTCCATGATTCAAACTCCCATGAAAAAGCAGAATTACTGTAACAACTTACGAGAGTGGTAAGCATCAAACACTAATCACATAACCGGTCAGTTTTCTGAACTGCGGGTAACAGCATGTTCTGCACTATCATCCCGTAAGGCAAGGCAAACCTGCTATGCAATCTTGCTGGTCACCGCTTAAGGAGCAGAGGTCTCTTCAAAGGTACCACCTTCCCGAAGGAGCGCAAAGGGGGCCCCAGCGGTTGCAGGTGTGGTTCTGAGCGTGTGATAACCCCGGCCTGACCATGGAAGGTGCGGGAACACGCAGCCCAGCGATCTCCAGAGAACAGACACAGGGCATTTCCAGAGATGATATAAAAGACCACGTACTGCTTTGCTAACCAAAGTTTCTATGTAATGAAAGTGTTTATAATCTGATGTTTTATTAAATGTGTATAGGCAGATTTATATGTTAAAAACTTGATTCTGTGTCTATGAATATGAAATCTGAACTATTTATCCACTGGAAGGCAAAAGAAAGGTCCTACATTGTGGGCGGAAGAACTGCCAGACGCTCCTCCCTGCTCGCTGGGGTGGCGGGCCGGGTGCGGACGACGGCAGGCTTGGCCGCGTGGAGACCTGTGTGAGCATGGTGGGCCGGGTACGGCGGCGGCCCGGGGCAGCAGAGGGGGGTCAGGCCCTTCCATGTGGAGGGCGGCCGCCCCGGCCAGGCCTTCACAGCCGTCGGTTCCGGTTCAGTCAGTTTCTGAGGAGAAAACACAGGCCCGTCACCTCTATGTGCATCGCCAGGATGGCCTGTCCTCCCACGTCTGGGGACTTAATCCCACCAGCCCCTCCCTGCCTTCCAGCCCGAGGGAAGGTGGGGAAGGGCATTTGGGCTGAGGACGGGGTGCTGGCTAAACCCGGCGGGGCACTGGGACCACCCAGGGGCCACCCGAACCGGGGCATGGAGCCGGGGCGGGAGCCTGACTTCTCTGGGCCGGGAACCCTCGCTGTGCGCCACCCTCCCCCCATCCCCGGATCTCCAGGGAACGCTGCTGTCGCACAGCAGCAGCTGGTCTACTTCCAAATATGTGTCCCACAGATGCCCTCCCTTCATTTGTCGGGGGTCGTTCGGAGAGGCCCTCACCATCGATGCTTACAGGTGGGGCCCCGGCGTTGAGGCTGGCTCGGGAAGCCACGAGAAAACAGCTACAGACAGACAGGCAGACAGGCCCTCCCTGTCCCCTCGGGTACCTCCCTCAGCCAAAAGAGGGTGACGCCACAATGGCACAGCCGCCCTGGCCACTCCTGCTCTGTCCCACCTAGGACACCAGCTCCTTGCTTAGTGTTGGAGCTACCAGCTGAGGGGAGCCGGTGGATTTAAATCCATTCCTCCCAACTCCAGGTTAGCATTTTTAATTGTGGTCAAATATACGTCACATAAAACCTACCATTTTAACCATTTTTAATAAGTATACAATTATGTGGCATTAAGTACATTCACAATGTTGTGTAACCACCACCCTATTTCCAGCTACAAGAATGTAATTCAAAAAAAAAAAAGGGGGGGGCTACCACGGTGGCGCAGTGGTTGAGAGTCCGCCTGCCGATGCAGGGGACACGGGTTCGTGCCCCGGTCCAGGAACATCCGAACATCCCACATGCCGCAGAGCGGCTGGGCCCGTGAGCCATGGCCACTGAGCCTGCGCGTCCGGAGTCTGTGCTCCGCAACGGGAGAGGCCACAACAGTGAGAGGCCCGTGTACCACAAAAATAAAAATAAATAAATAAATAAATAAAAGAATTTAATTCAGTAGAATTTCAATTAAAAAAAACAAAAAACCTAAAGAAATTAGTTTTCCTAGTGCCCAGCAATCTGCCATGCTGCTGGCAGAGCCAAAGCCAGGGGTGGGCAGGCCCGGTGCTGGAGAAGGTGCCTGAGGCAACCCGCCCTGTGAGCCCACACCTGTTCCCTGGTGCCCGTGATGCTCCCTGCGGGGACCTCACTGACTCACAGGGGCTTGGAGGAAACAAGGTCGAGTCCAGAAACGCCGGCCCTGGAACCACCTTCTAAAGGTCCCAAATCAGGGAATCTGGGAATCCAGATACTTCCTTGGTTTCCACAGCTTCCCGTGAAGAGCTCAGCTACCTCGCTCCTGGCCAACCTGTGACAAGGCCACCCAAGAGGAGGGTGGGAGGGAAGGGAGAGGCCAGGAACTCAGAGATCAAGACCCAAGAAAATCAACACCCAATAACGTGATTTGTCTGAGGCTTCAAACTGTCTTCAGTAAAATAATCTTCTAAAGCTTTCTTTCAAGTACTACTGTCCTGATCCAGAGAAAATGAGGAACAAAATTCAAGCATTCGATTCCATGTTATGTCTAAGAGGGAAGAAGATTTTCCACTACCTCTATATCAGGAAGAATAACTGCAATGCAAATTACAGGATTTTTCATCATTTAGAAAAAAAAGCACTTTGTGTATCTAAGGTCAATTAAAGGCTCCCTCTGCTTTTGTTCACCAACTGGGGTTGAATTTCCTCATAAGTCCTATTCTCTCTCTTACCCAGCGGTCGTGGTTCTATCTGGCTCAGATGACATTCTGACCTATTCTCCTTTGGCTAAGAAATGACTAGAAAAGGGTGGGCCCTTGGAGGTTCACTACACTCCTTCCCCTGTGCAGGTTTAACAAACACGAAACAAAAAAACCAAGTGTCAAGCCTTTATCATATGATGATGCTCCAATGGATTCTGCTGCCAGGTGCCCCCCGAAGCAGCCAGACAACACGGTCCTGCTGCCAGACAGCCTTAGAAACAGCAGATGCCCCGGCACTGGATTCGGTGCCTGCCACAGGTGCCCCCCAGACCCACAGAGGACGGCACAGCCCCACAGGCTCCTTACCCAGCTGAGGTCCAGCCTGGGGACTCGGCGTGTCAACGGGCTCTGAGCTGGCCTCAGGGGCACCGGGTTCCCATGACTCACTGTTTTCGGACACCTCTGAATAGGTGTCGCCCATCCCTTTGTGAACTGCTGCAGGGTCGCTGGGGCCCTGGCCCTCACCACCCGTGTCGGCCACGGCCCGGGTCTCCTCACCCATCCTCTCGGCAAACCACTGCTTGACCTGCTGGGCGCTCATCTGGGTTTTGTCGCAGAGGCTCTGCAGGTCCTGCTCGTACAGCATCTTGTGGGTCACGTAATAGTCTTGCAGCAGCTCCCGGTTGCCGGGGCTGATGACCAGCAGCCCGGGGGGGAAGTTGCCCCGTCTGTAGTCTTCGTACCACTTGAGCTGGCCGTTCTTCAGGGCGTACCTGCTGTCCCCAAACCAGCGCACCACCTCGGGCCGCGGCAGGCCCGTCTGGGCCATGATGGAGTCATAGTCCTGGTTGCTGGGCCACTGCGTCTGCAGGAAGAGCTGCCGCAGCAGGTGCCGCTGCTGGGCCGTCTTCCTGTAGCTCACCTTGCCCGGCAGCTGCTCCGCTGGCTTGCTGGGCACGTCATCCTCGGGCTCACAGGCGCCCAGCCCCGGGAGCTCGCCCTTGCCGTTGGCCTCCGTGACTCGCAGGTTCTTGAGGTTGATTTTGATGGGGCTGACTTTGCGTTCTGCCAGCACGTGGCTGCCGGGCGTTTCTGGGGAGCCATCTTCCCCTGGGACCCTCGGGTCCCTGGCAGAGCCCTCCTCCCCCTCATCCTCGGCGGCCTCCTCCTCCCCCTGAGAGGCGCCCTCCTCAGCCTTCTTGGCCTCCTCGGCACTCACTTTTTTCCGTCTCTCTGAAAACCAGCCATCAATCTCCCTGCGGGTCATTTTGGTCTCGGTCCTCAGGCGGTCCAGTTCCTCGTCGAGAGGAAGGGGGTTTTGGGCAAAACTGTTCTCCAGGGCCCTGAGCTGCTCGGGGGCCCGCTCCTTGTATTTGGTTGGTGTGAAGTCGGGGGTCTGGTGCCAGGACTGTCGCTTGGCAGAAGGGGGGGTAGCTGGGGTGGCCGCTGTCAGGAGGCAGGTCACCTCCGGGGCCTTGGACGCCAGGGAGAAGGGCACCTCGGGCACAGAGTCGACGAGGAGGGCGCCATGCTCCCCGGCCAGCCCGGCCCTGGAGCCCTTCAGGTTCCGGCAGTGGTACCTGCGGTCACTGAACCACTTCCGCACCTCACGGGTGCTGAGGCCGGTCACTTTGGTCAGATGCTCAACTTCGCTCTGTCCTGGGAACTGGTTCCGACAGAAGCTCCCTTTCAGAGCTGACAGCTGTTCATGAGATTTCTTGTTTTTGTAGATGCTGGCATCCAGGAAGGCTTGGGAGGTGATGCTGGGACACGCCGTGAGGAGGGACTGGGCGGCATTCACCACCTTCACGGCGGACGTTGTATTTGAACACACGGTGTTAATGGGCGCGACAGCGGGCAGCTTGGGGACAGATGTGACTGCCAGGGGGAGAGATGAGCTGGGTGCCTGCAACCCATTGGCCATCAGTGGCTGAGTGACCAGAAGTCCCCCGGCTGTGCCCTCTGGCTGGCCCACCACGTGGCCAGGCAGAGTGGGCTGGATGAGATGTTGGACGTTGCCGCCACTGGCAACCAGCGGGGTGTTGAGGACAGTGATTGTGGGCTGGGGGACGGACTGGATGACCGTGTTGAACATCTTCTTCCGGGCGTCCTCAATCTCCTCCGGGGACCAGCTGATACCTTGCTTCAGCCTCTGGGCAGTGAACCAGATCTTGAGCTGCTCTTCCGGGTACTTGGTGACCACGGTCAAATAGCAGAGCTCGGCTTTGGTTGGGTAGGGGAACTTGTGGAAGGAGTTCTTCAGAAAGCTGTTGGAGTCCATGGCCGCGTTGTATGTGGGGATGCTGCTCAGCGGGATCATCACTTTGGGGAGGGACTTGGCCGTGGGCAGGGGCTGGTGGGCGTGGTGCTGGGCGTGCGGGGGCGGCTGCTGCAGGGAGAGGAACTGGGCGATGCCCGCGGGCAGCACCGGCACCGTCCCCAGCAGGGGCCCGTTGGCCGAGTGAGGGGGTTTTGCGGAGTTGGTAGAGGCCTGGCTGACCGGGGCTGCCCCGTTGACAAAGGCGTGGTCCCCCTCTTTCACCTCCGTGTCCCCGGCTGAAGGGGTCGGTAAGGCCTCCCCAGCAGGCTGACTGGGGACGTTCTCCTTGAGCGTGTGAATTTTTTTGGCTTCCGCTTTGCCTTTCATTATCTTCATGATTGGAGTTTTGGTGATGATGATTTCCGCCTGTCCATCTGTCCCTTCCATGTTTGGCTCCCCCGATGGGTCGGGAGGGCTGGTGCTCTCGGGGACACTCTGCTCCACGACGACATGATTGTCTGGCTTGGCCACATTCCACACAAAGCTGGCTTCCCCCGAGTGACACTTGGCATTGTGCAGAGAAAGCCCCTCGGGAGTTTTTGCCAGAAAACTGCATTCAGTGCATACAAAGTTCGGGTCTTTGCTAAAGTCTGTGTGCTCTGAGCTCAGGTGTCCCACAAACCGGGTTATGTCCTGGGATCTGAAGTCACAGCATTTACAGGCATATGTGTAGCCGTCCAAGGTGCTCCGGTGCCCGTTGGCCAGTGCGGCACTGTCTGGACCGCTGGTGCCCTGGGTGGCCTCGCCGCTGGCGGTGGGAGCTTCTGGGGGCGGCTCCTGCGGGGGCCCCTCGGGCACGGGCTCCTCGGGCAGGGCCTCGGCGCCGGTGTCCTGCAGCACCACGGTCTTCACGGGGATCATGCACGGGGTGGTGGACTTCCTCTTGCTGGCCATGGTGACAGCCGCGCTGGGGGGTCAGTGGGCGACAGTTCGTCCTGTCGGGGGCCTCACAGCGCAGGTTCCAGCTGCTCCATGAGGCCCAAAGAAACAGCTTCCAAGGGCGGCTTTTTCAGTTGTTTGCAGAAAGCAAGTTTTCCCTATTAAACCTGAGGAGGAAAAGAGAAACGGTGAGCATCCCTCTCTCGGGCTGCGTGTGTATTTCCCAGACTCCCAGGCACACTCCACTGCTTGCCTTCGATCACCCGGGCCTTTTCCCAAGGAACCAACATCCAACCTCGGATGTGACAAATTTTGAGTCAGAAGCCCCACAAACACTCACAAAAATAGTGCCCTGAGGAATGATGCGGGGACGTCCCAACACCACTGGACAGACTTCAGCCATGTGTTTCTGTGTTGTGTTTCCCTCTGTTTCCTCGCATAAAATAACTCAGATTCAAAAATGACAACAACAAAAAAAACCCTCTTCTGGACCTCCAAATGAATTCTGACCATGTCATAGCGAGAACAAAAGATCCTAGTGTAATTCTTGTTTAAATGTTTGGGCCCACAAGGGTTTTCTTTTCATAGCCTTCCCACGTGTGAGAGCAGGATGCCCGCTCCAGGCCCAGAGGCCAAGCCCACTGCAGTGCGTGCACCAGGGAGGGGCACTGATGCCACAGGAGCGGGGCTCTGCGGGCTGTCCCTACCTGCTACCCTGTCACCCCAGCCCCCTGTTGCTCAGGTGAAGCCCGAGGTCAGAAGGTCAGGGGATCCGCAGACGCGGTTTGCGGCCCATGAACTGTACATCTGTCTCTGGGGCAGCAACCCCACAAGAAGCCTCACCTTAGGTGTGCACGCTACCCGTGACCTTGTAGTGGGCTTACTTTTTATTTTTTTCAGTGCCTTTATTAGTCCTTAAAAAAAAAAAAAAAAACAAACCTTAAATCTTTGTTCCATTTCAAATTTATTTCAAAAGCTGGGATGATTGATTTATTTACATGTTAAATACTACTACTACTAATTCTTTCATGAGATGCCAGGAGAAAAGTATTTCTGTGATCTCTACTATTAACATACCACCACAATCATCATTACCTTTTTTTTAGCAAATTGCAATGCTGATAATGACTAAAATAATAGTAATTCTAATACCAGAATCATGTTATCATCAGTGTTTGGATTTGATATAAAAATGTAAGAAAATTAAATACCTCTATTCAAATTCTTAGTAAATAAACACAGCAAACTATCTTTTCTGATTTTAAGACTAGTCCTGGTGATCATGATGATAAAAAATACTTACTCTTAAAAAAATAGTTGGTGTGAGATAAGGATAAACAGATATCCAGTGTACCCACCTGTCACCATTTCCCCCACTGATGTGAAACGTCAGGCATGTTTTTTTAACTTAATTTTTAATAGTAAAAAAAATATATCAACAGAAAATGAAATTTAAGAAAGCCACCTATAATCTTCCATCTAGTCCAGATATTTTATACACATTTTTAATCATTAATGGGCACACACTTGTGTTTTGGTTTTTTCCACTAAACATTTCATCATCAACAGTGTCGTTAAGTCAGCTTCGTAATTACAATATGCAACAGCTGCCTAGTCATGTACCAAGACGGACTTAACCTCCTCTGCTGTGAACTGGCTTTCCGCGCACCACTCTCATAGGTGACAGTGAAATGACCTCTGGGCATAGAGGATGTATTTCTTCTATCATGTTATTTCCTGAGGCTGAGCGCACAGAAACGGGTAATTTACCAGCTCAACAAGTATCAACATTTCTAAGCTCTCCTATCTATATATTACCGGCAAACATTTTAAATCAGGTGCTTTACCACCTGATTAGATTCCAAATCAGGAAAACTAAGAGTAATACAGTTTCGTTTCCAGTAAGCCAATCAGATTTTCCGATAAGACACTGAAGACATCAAACAGAATATCTGAATGTGCAAGTGCCGTAAGAAAAAACAGGTAAGTCAGACTTCATCAAAATTAAAAAACTTCTGCGCTTTAAAGGCCATCATCAAGAAAGTGAAAAAGACAAGCCACAGAACAGGAGACAATATGTGAAAATCACATATCTGGTAAGGCGCTCATAACTGAATAATAAAAAGACAAAAACCCAATTTAAAAATAGGTAAAGGACTTAAATAGACATTTCTCCAAAGAAGACATGCAAATGACCAATAAGCATATTAAAATAAGTGCTCAACATCATTAGTCATTAGCGAAATACAAATTAAACCACAATGGGATACCAATTCACACCCACCAGGATGGCTATAATCACAGTGACAGATAATACTACACGTGAGGAAGTGGGGGAATCTAGAGCCCTCCTACGTTGCTGGTGGGAAGGTGAAACGGTGCAGCCACTGCTGCACTTCAGAAACCAGTTTGGCAGTTCCTCAGAAAGTTATATATACACTTACCATAAGACCCAGTAATTCCACTCCTAGGTATATACCAAATAGAAGTGAAAATATGTCCACACAAATATTCAGAGCATCCTCATGATAATAGCCAAATAGTAGAAGCAACCTCAACGGCCATCAATGGGTGAATGAATAAACACAATACGGTATGTCCCTATGACGGACTACTGTTCAGCCATAGAAAGGCATGAAGTACTGACACATGCTACAGCACGGACAGAAACATCATGAAGGCAGACACAAAATGCTACATATCACGTGACTGCATTTGTATGAAACACCCAGAATAGGCACATCCACAGCGACAGAAAATAGATTAGTGTTTGCCAAGGGCTGAGGGGAGGGGAGAATGGGGACTGACCACTAATGGGGATGAGGTTTCTTTTGGGGGTGATGCAAATGTTCTAAAATTAGGTAGTGGTGATGGTTGCATAAAACTGTGAATATACTAAAAACCACTGAAAGGACTTCAAAAACCCAAGAAAGGTGGAGGACAGAAAGTTACAGCACTCAGTTCTGTAGAAGAAGGTCATCATTCTCACTTCTAAGGTTACAGGTGATGCCATTGATTTATGACTTCCTGATTTGCCTTCCTCTTCCTGACTTCTGCCCTGGGGAAAGGTGAAAGGCAGTGGCTGTGAACGTCAGGTTTGAGGCGAGAGAGGGAACAGAACCGCAGACCTGGCAGCTAAGGAAGCAAGCATGCTCACCAGGAGGCCAGGGAGCAGTGGAGCTGAGGAGCAGGGAAGTGCAGGCCCAAGGTACACAGCACCTGACACTCAGGCCTAACTGACATTTGCTATGGGGACTGGGCTCCACCGAGGAAGAGTTACATTATCTCCCTCGTATTTTATTTACTAAGGCTGAGAGGGGGACAACATGAAGATGCATTTGATTTGGGGAAATGGTCCCAATGTCATTCACAACTGAGTCTCAGGGTAGCCCCAAATTGTCTTTCAAATCAATGATGGAGGGGAGCACCACTGCCTACCACTCTCTGAGGGAGTCAGTCATCCATGATGAAGATGATTGAATAACAGCAGTGGGGGAGGGGGGAGGAGGGGCAGCCACTGCCACAGGTCACTGAGTGTTTAATACCAATACCATAGGGAGTGCTTTTAGCCACAACCTCTCATTTTACTCTCACAGCAAACCCCAGAGGAGGAACTACTGTCACTCCCGTTGTACAGACAAGAAAAACAAGGCTCAGAGAAGTGTAGTAACCACCTGAAGGGCGCACAGCTAGGAGGCAGCAGAGGCTGGTAAGCTGGTTACGGCGGAGCCTGCCCTCAACCGCTCCACGCACTGAGCTCTCCGAGCAACCACAACACTGCTGGAAGAAGGCCTGCATGGCTTTCCTGAGCTGTATTTACCCCCGGTGTTTATTAGGAAAGATTTCAAACATTCAGCAAAGTTGAAAGAATTGTTCAGTGAATACCCACGTACTCACCACCTGGCTACTGCCACGGGGCTACTTCCAGCAACATGACCCATATAGGTAAGCTGGGGTTGGTCTATTTGTCATACATTTTTTAAAGGGTATCCAATAAAAGCGGTGCTTAAAGGGGAAAGCTCTAATTATCTAGAAACCACTCCTCCAGAAGGCACTCATGGACCACGCCTGCCAAGCAAGGCAGCAATTACTGTGAGGAAACAGTTTGCCGAGTCGAGCCCCGTGTGAGGTGAGCTGTATAAATGTGAGGTTCTGTGCTGCCAGAGACTCGCAGCAAAGGACCAGACGACAATTGCAGGTTCTTCATTCTTTGTACAATTCTTTCTACACCCTTTCTCGAAAGCTTCTGTCTTATAAATGGATTGCTTTTTTAATGAGCAAATAAGACTGAAAGTACATAGCTTTCCCCCCAGAATCTGTCTTTGGAACCTGGGAATTGCTCAATTCCCTAAATTAACAAAGCTGCAGCTAATTGTCACTGTACTTCAACACTGCAAAGTATCACACATATGGGGGCTGGAAATGAGTTTGTAGATCACACTCTTAAAGTGTTTAGCTTTAAATTATAGATAAGTCAGAAACTTTCTGTTGTTGTTTTAATTCTCAGGAAGGAACTGAAAGGACAGTAAGAGTTCAACAAAAGATTTCAAATGTTTAGAAGGCGACTGTCAATAGACGCTTTCCAAATGTTATGGTGGCCGGGCCTCGGCCCTCCTGGACATGCAACCCACAATTTATTGATAGAAACAGGAATAATGGGAGAAGCTGACAGAGTTATAGAAACATAATCAGAGATTTCAATACACTACTCGTGGTTTTGAAAGCTCAAGTAGACAACAAGAAAGGATGTGAAGAATGAGACTTCTGTAACGAGGATGATTTGACAGATTTGGGTAGTCTTGAATATTCCACAGTAATCAACTTCATATTCTTTTAAGAACATTCATGAGACATATTTAAAAGTGGGTCACGTGTGGGGCTTCCCTGGTGGTGCAGTGGTTGGGGGTCCGCCTGCCGATGCGGGGGACGCGGGTTCGTGCCCCGGTCCGGGAGGATCCCGCATGCCGCGGAGCGGCTGGGCCCGTCCGTGGGCTGTGGCCGCTGGGCCTGCGCGTCCGGAGCCTGTGCTCCGCGACGGGAGAGGCTGCAGCAGTGAGAGGCCCGCGTACCACAGAAAGAAAAAAAAAAAAAGTGGATCATGTGGTATAACGGGTCACAAGGAAACCTCAACTCATTCCAAAATAAAAATTTGCGGGTAGCATTCATT